ATTTCGCAAAATCTGAAGGGGTACCCCTTGGAAAAATCTCGGAAAAATCCAAAATTTTTTTTTGTTGTCTATTATTAGCATAGTTCTTCCGACGTCTGATTTCTTTTTAAAAAATGCGTTTCTAAAGTGCATAAACTTTTGGGATTGACTGTATAGCCAATACATCCTTAACTCAGCAATATGTTACATAATCGTTCATTACTCTTGATGAGTTATCGCTAAGCATAAAACTGAAATAAGGTAGAATCAACATTAATTAGTATCTTCAATCAACAATTTAAGATAGAATCAATTTTTACGTGTACTATAAATTAATTTACGAAATCGAGTACCGTTGCAGTGTTCTCTGCACGTTTAATTAAGAAGAACGGACTAGAAAGTGTTAATTAACTTGATAAAGCAACCGTGACTTACCTTTCACCTTCCAATTCGAGATAGTGACAGCCTGAATTCTTGTTTGCCAGTTTCTAATATACACAGACTAGCACTTGCGATTACTTTCTGTTACTGTTATCGCGTGTTACGTTTGAAACGGAGCACAGAACTATGTAGAGGACGAGGAACATCCACGATAGCAGTCAGGTTCGATTCGTGCCACGCGGGCTCGTCGCACGCACTGCTTGAACACAGCCACAAATGTCAATCAATCGTTCCTGGATCTTTTCGTGGCAGCCGATGTAAAATTACGCAAAATCACGAGGCGCTATTAGAATTTTGATAAAGTCTACTCACCAGCAGGAGAGACTAAACTTTATGTCGACGTAGCCGCGCTCGGCTCAATGACAGCAGTTCGCAAAACATTGCCACTGTTCACTGACTGACGTCGATCACTCACGTTCTCAAAGCTGCTCAAAGCGACTTCAGACGACTGACGCTCACGATCTTATAATAGACATGTCTGAATACTTATTAGTGGGCACCCTATGACTCAGAAAACGGGACGTGAATGAAGCCCGAAATTCAACATCGTGACTTGTAGGGGAAACTCTCACGCGTGCATAGGAGATTACAGAAGTGTGTGCCGTAATCTGTCCATGCGCGAGAACTTTCCATCCATACAGGCTGTCATGTTGAATTTGCGGCTTCATTCACGTCCATGCTAACTCATAAAGCTACTGTTGTATTAATTTTGATTATTTTACTATAATTCATCCATAGTACACGAATCGGTGTTTTAAGTTGAAAGTAAAAGATTATTAAGTATTATCAATATGTTCTCGTTAGTGAGACGATATGAAACTAGTACTATTGTAGCAGTACTAAAAACTATGAAACTCTCGGTGTCATCCTATACGAACGTTGAAAACGATACAGGTATTAGCGATTTGAATTCAAAATGATTTTTAATTCCTTTATTTTATTTGTATATGTACATTCTCGTTGTTTTTCTTATAGAATTTCGAGTACTGGAATTAATGCCAACGGAGAAGAAATCTGTAACGAAAAGGACTTTGGATCGTCCTTTGAAGCTCGCACCGTCTAAAGCTAAAACGATGTCGCCCACTCAAGACTGGCAAGCAGTTTGGCCTGCAGCTCGTACATTTCATCCAGATATCGTACCCCTTCCTTTGAGACAAGGATACCAAAATTCGAAAGGCATACACCCGGATAAATACGCAAATGCCGAATTAATGAAGATCCCAAATTTCTTGCATCTCACCCCGCCGATAGTTAAAAGACATTGCGAAGCGTTAAAACAATTCTGTACGAAGTGGCCTGAAGAATTGGAAACAGAAGAAGCATGCCAGAAACATTTTCCAACAGAAATAATTACATCCGATTATTGTTATTCCTCTCCTACTATAAGAGAGCCGCTTGCCAGAATAGTAACTCTAAGAGTGAAACTATCCTCTTTGGACTTGGATGCTCGTGCTAAGGATAAAATGCTCAGGCTGGTGGGTGATAGATACAATCCTGAGACCGATGTGATAACAATAACTGCAGACAGATGCCCAAGTAGGGTACAGAATCTAGATTACGTAAAGTACCTTTTAACAGCGTTGTACCATGTATCTTGGGTAAATACTTTCTTATTACTTCCATCAGTTTTTTAAATCGATCGATGGCAGTTTGGTATAATATTATAACTTGTTTTAGCGCGTTGAACCTTGGGAAAATGAGAAATCTGAAGCAGACATGGAATACTACGATTGGGACAAAAGTAAAAGCAGAGAATCCTTAACAAAGTTGTACAACTGGCCGAAAACTCCAACTGATTTGAGCTATGAATATATTCCCAATTCGACAGAATACAAGACTGCAGTTTCGGATCTAATAAACAAAGGGGAAGATCAGTGTTCTCTCAATAAGTATAAAGAAGCCGTTAAAAACTTGCTAAATCTGAAACACACGGACAATTTAGAATAAATCTCTCTCTCTGATAAAAATCTTGCGGAACACGATCGTAGTTGGTTTTTCTTTTAATAATTGCTGATAATGTAATTCAATTACAT